TATAGTTAATATAGTAACGAATTAATATGGTAACATTTTCGGAAGTATTTTTTTCTATATCGTAGGTATTTTTCTCATTAGTATATTAAAACGAGGTACGCGAAACACACGAGGTAATAATGAATGTATAACGATTTAATTAAAGATGAACTTGCGGGTACTCTTCTTTTGAGATACAAAATACAAGATAGCTTGTTGTACGTATATTTTATATACGCTTCGACATTACGAATGTACTGCCAGTATTTTGACTATTCTTAAACGAACGACAATTGACAGCAACAGAGCTATGCATATCAGGAGCAGACTTCCAAAATATATTTTGTCAAAAATTTCATTTTTTGAGTTAGAGATAGCGTATTTAGTCGAAAGACTCATATTTTAAGCTACTCTATGATGTTCTGAAAGCATTCTTTTCACTATCAATTTATGTACCGAAAAAAGTCTAGATCTTCGAGATGCATTTATTTAACATTATTAAAAATATAATAGTTTAGCAATCTTACATAACATTTTATATCTTACTAATTGTTATTTTCTGTAAGGCATGTGCGATTTCCTTGTGACTTTCTTTCGCGTTTTCTGAAAATTATAAATTTGGGCAAAACGCATTTTGAAAGTCTGCTCCTTATATATTATCATGAAATATCAGTTTTGGTACGATCATGTAAGTAGGTAAAACACTGATATTAGGAATCTGGATTAGATGGGTGACCGTAAATTTTTTCTCTTCACAATAGAGAAGTCTTGAGGATGCTTCTTCTAGGTACTTTTTCTTTTATATTTGATGGTACTTATATCCCTTGTAATTTACGTAATGTTTTTATTTCAACATGTACATACTTTAAATTTTTGACGATACAAAAGTGCATTATGAATATATTCTCATTTTTTCTTAATCGTGCAAATATATTTTTCAAAGTTTCGAAGCTTTAAAATTATCAAAAGTAAATTTCAATAGTTCGGAATTAATTTATTAAACAACTAAAATTCTTTCAAAGCTTCGTATCTTCGAAATTATCAAAAGTAACAGTCCTAATTAAGAATCATCCGACATTATTTTCTTTTTGTATTATTTTTGTATATACTTTGATTGTTTCGCTTTGTTTTTTATTTCCATGTTCTTAGAGAGTTGAATGTGTAGTAAACGCCTTCATCTATCTATTTATCTATCCCTCTCACCGCCCTGGTTCACCAGGCTCGAAGAAGCGACATACGGAAATAATTTGGTTCTATTAAATCTCATTTACACTTATGACTCATTTCGTCAATTTATTCGCGTCCGGTGGCGATATTTCAACGTCTTCGGTGCGCCGCCGCTATCTTACTTGGCGATGTGAAAGGCGCTTCGCGATCGAAACATATTCTCGATCGCGCACCGGTAAAGTGCATCCAGAGGATTCTCTGATGAATGATCTGAATTCTTTTGAATCGAATGTTTACGTAAAATTTGTAGATGCGGCTAAATCGCGTTGCGATTTATTCTCACAATAATGTAATCATTTCTCTCTCCCTGTCTCGAGTTCTGGACTCGAGCTTGTTACCGTATAAATTCAAATAGAACAACAAGAGTAACATTTAGCTGTTCTAAAGTTAAGCCATATCTGTAAAGGGGCGGAAAAGGATCGTGGACACGGTACATTAGCCCGTATCACCGGCAGTGATCTGAAACAGGTTTTGATCGACAGCGGCGTGGCACTCTGACGTAGAGTGCCGCGACGCGGCGGCGACGACGGCTCTCGTTTTCTTTATCCACCTAAGTATGCACACATCCGGCCGATCTGTACTCCAGCAACTTTCCTACTTCATTCATGGACGCATTCAGTGGCCTTTGAAGGTTGCACCGCAGAAAGGAGTGGTAGAGGCACGGTCTCCGCGCGGCACGGCACGCGGTGAGGCGGACAGGGACGTAATTAGGGGGGAAACTTCGCGAGAGAGGAGCTGCCATATGACATACACACGCGCGTACATACGTGTGAGAACCATACGCAGGCCCCTTCAAATCGACGATGGAATCCTGCCTCCGCGATCCGAAGCTCGGTTTTCTTCAGGAACTTTCGCATTTCATGTAACTGTGTGGAAAAAGGTACAGCGAGAAAGGTACACTTACTGGCCGAGAGCAGCTCGCCGTGCGAGAACGGAATGCCTGGGTCTCGTGCATATCTTTGCCGATTCATTGATAACCCCGACACGGGTGCACGCTCACCTGGTTACGTCACTGACCGGCGCGGACGACCGGCTGACAACGCGGACCAGTTTCAGTATAATCCTTTCGTGGAAATACACCGCTGGTCCGCGCTCGCGATCGCATTTACCTAATATGGCCCACATCGTCCGATTGTACCGCAATCTGTCGAGTATTTTCTATGAGTTATCTAGCTCTTACAAAAATTTAACACTGAAAAGCACTGAACAATGCTTTTAATTCTCAAAATAAATCTCAATTATAAATTTCATTATAATTAGTACTATAATTGCCTGTTTTTATTTCAAGACCATAAGTAATGTCTTTATAATTCTGCCATGAGTAAGTCTAATGTATCAGATTATGATTCGTATTCATAAATAGTTCTTATATTTAAGACTGTCTTAAATACAGTCTTAAGTAAAATTTTAAGATGTTATATAATATCAATCCAAGATATTTACAACCGATTCTATTCTAAGGTCATCTTAAATGTAGTCTTAGATGTCATAAACCAAGCACATAATCGCGTTAGCATCTTAAGACATTTCTGTTACCTAAGAATCAATGAACTATAAGAATCGACTATAAATACCAGCTCATACATTGGAGATTAGAATTCACATTCAATTAGAACAAAACGTATTAAACAATTAACATTATCTGAGTCGTTCTAATATTCAATTTGCAATCTTCAATCTTCAGCGTAATACAGGCTTCAAGAAGGCTCATGATGCTCATGTATGCAGAATAAATGAAAATGAACTGTAGATAATACGTACAGTATCAATTCGAATAGAAAAATCGCGTATTCGTTATCGACGCTGAATACCTTTATTTAACTTACGATTCAACTCGAGTAAAGAATTCTCAGCCAGCTTCATTGTGAACGATTTCGTCTACGGTTACTTGCAGGGTCTACGGTAACTGCGGCCGAGACTTTCACCGTTTCTCCGCGTCGTTACGGCAAATAATGCATCTCTCGCGAGTAGGTATGCGTGCGCGCGCGCGTGCAATCCTCTAAGGAATTCGGGAGGGAGAGAGGGGCGCGCGGAAAAGCTGAATGAATACAAATTTCTCAACGGTTGCGCAAGCGGTGACTCGAAGCGAAGCGAGAACTGTCGCTATACGCGCTCTCCAAGCCTGTACAGTTCATGAACGTGATCCCTATAGATCGGCCTATACACGCTCCTCCGACATTTCGAGCGTAACAAAGAATCTGCAAAGAATCTCGCTGTTCATTCGAGCTTTTTTAAAACCCTCGTCGGATCTCGAAACCGAAGTAATAATCGCGCGTCGACGATGCATCGGAAATTCCATTCCTCGGCTGCTACGAACAGAGGTAAAGCGCCCAGGTAAAGCCGCTCTCGCACGTGCGTGAGAGAGCGCGCTAGAAAGGGTTGAAGTTATCCGCGAGAGCGCCCCGCGGAGGAGGGACCGGGACGGCGCGGTGCACCGACACATGGGCGCGCGGCACCGCGCGTGTATACACACGGTGCACGTGTCGGGGCGGCACGGTGGTGGGGCGGAAACGTGAATGATCCATAGAGAGTCGTTACGGTGGTGTGCGAAGGTGTAGCGCGCGCTAACGTTTGTATGAGAGTGCCGTCGCGTCGCGTCGGCGATCGCCCGGCGCTGCTCCGCGCTCCATGCCATGGGCTCTCAATCGTCCGCGCTGCGCCTGCGACTTTTGCATCGAGTCGCATCGAAGAACTCGCCGAGCGCGGACCCGAAATGTCCGGAGGTACCTTTCGAAACTGTAATGTGGCTTTTGTGTGTTCATCTGAAATATTTTCTGACTACATTCGACTGTAACGTAGCTGTTAATATTTGCCGAATCGAATCCGATGTAAGGATATATAACGAAGTGCCATTGTAAAGAGAAGTCTGCTTTAGTTGTAAAAGACTCATCGAGCGTGACGTTAAAATTTTTTTAAAGTTTCTAATGAAACGTATAACCGCTTTTTCGGTATTTTTCTGTTCTGTTTTTGTAATAATTATTAACAAAGTTCTGTATTTATTTAATGACGTTTCATTCCATCTATTTGTGAGAAGCTGAAGGGGAAAGATGTTACCGCAGTCATATCTCCAAATACAGAACGGGGCTAATTTTTAGAGAAGTGCATCAGAAGAGGTATCAAGTGCGGACAATAATTTTTTTTAAACTTTTTGAGAAAATTAATTGCCTTTCACACGCTCTAATAGATATTTGTACTTGCTTAAAACGTTTATTTGATTTATACGCTTTTTTATTGATTTCATATGGACAGTATGAAACCTGTATCGAGAATCGGTAGGTAGTCATAATATAAAGAGGAAGAAGAATTGTTCGCGATCGGCAATCCTATACGTAACCGTGGAATGTAATATCTTTTAATTAGTTATTCTCAATACCATTGTCTGCTACTGCACATTTTCAACTTTCCTTATCGTAAAGATCTCCAAGGAATACCTTAAAGACATCCAGAGGACATTCTAGTCCTAAGGACATTCTCGGAACATTTTACATCCTAAGGACCTTCCCAGGACAGCCTACGCGACCGAAGCATTTCCTACATCCTAAGAGCACAGTAAGAACTTTCCTAGAACATCCTACGTCTTAAAGACATTCCTCGGTTAGAGTGTACTGTATGGGTCAGAGACATCGGAGGTCAAGCACCGTCAAACGGAGCACGATACCCTGGCTGGATCGCCGACGTTGAGAAGCGCTGAGCTACGTCATACAGTCCTCGTCGGCATTACGCGGTGCGGTGGGGTACAGTCTCGAGATAAGCGGTAGTGGTAGTGATGTGAAACATTCGTGGGTCGGGGCTGGTTGGCGGCATCGCCAGGCACTCCAGGCAGGGCAAGCAGGCAGGCCGAGGGAGCGGTACGGTAGACCGTAGAAGTTAGGTGCGAGACGCGGAGCAAGAGCGGAGGAGAAACGGCACGGCACGGCGCGGCGCGGCGCGGTTTCGGCTTCTCGGCATCGGCTTCGGAAATGGCCGCGGGAAAGTAGAGAGCGGAGCGTTTCGTCGCTGGCTGGCAGGCTGCGGTTCGGTTGGTCGGTCCGTCGGTTGGTTGGCCGGGTTGGATCGGTGTCGGTCGTGGTCCTTAAAGTTTTCGGAGCGCCGTGCGCTGCTCGTTCATCCGGCTGCATCGGGGCCGCGCGATCGATTCACACGCACCAGACGATCTCGCGGATCAACATGAGATGTGAGAGCGGCGCATCACCGAGGAAATCCGAGAAGACGTCGTTGGGAAACGGAAGCGACCTCGACGGAGGCGAGGAGTGGCGCTCGGTGGGTACGATTCCTCGCTCCGGTTCGGTTCGCGAGAAGAGGATGGCCGGCGACGACGGGACGACGACGAACAATGAGATCCTCGGCGCGGAGGGTGGGGAGGAGGGGCAGGGTACGTCAGCGCGAGGGGAACTGCATTCCAGAGTGGGCGGCATTCTGGAATGCGATCCCCCCGGTAACAGGAATTCGTCGAACGAACGAGCCGCCGCCGCCGCCACCGCCACCGCCGCTGCTAACAACGAGGACGGTGTCTGCCGATATGCGGTCGGCGCTGCTAACCGCGCTATGTCTTTCTTCGAGATGTGCCAGGTATCGTAAATCGACGACTAGTGCCGGTCCAATTGTCAATGTCCACGATTATTTAGCTCGCAGTCGCGAATGTAGAAAAAAAAACTTATCGGATTTTTAATTTCGCGGTTTACAACATAACTTGCCATTGAAACTGACAGTACAAACTGACAGTAATATTATATATATATGTTACATCAATGTTATAATTTTCTATTGAATAATGTAACTGTTATGTCTAACATGTGTTATATCACATTTATCTTCCCATGCAGCAAAACATTTAAAAGATGTTACATTCCCAGGATATTTGTAAGATGTTGTGTATTGGTTTAGGTGGTAGAAGTGTTATATGTATAATACTGATGTAATATTACAGTCGGTTTGTATTCCGTAGGTTTTGCGACAATTATAAAAATAGACTAGTGATTTACGAGGCTGTACTCGTCCTTTTAGATTCGACTCCAGTATCTGTTTCCACAACTGAGTCCACCTCCACGTTACAATATCCACGATGACTCCATAGAATCGACTGCGGAAATCCTGGCCAATGATGTGATGCGATACTTGTTGAAGGAAGACATCTATCTTATATCCCAGGATCCAGTCTCCCGCAGCATGAGACACAATGTATATCAAATGCTCAACAAACACAGCATTCTATTTACGAGTATGGTAAATCGTTTAAACGTCGTCCCTGATACCGCTTATGAAACATTCATGGGGGTCGCCAACGAGCTGTTCTTACACGGCGTTATCACATGGGCCAGGATTGTCTGCTTGTATGCTTTTATGGGCAGATTGGCTTTATGGGCCAGGGACAGAAGAATGCACAGTCTTAAAAAGAAATTGCCTTTATACGTCTCTAGATATGTTGGTGAAAATATAACACACTTTATCAAAGGCTATGGTGGATGGGTAAGTGAGCGCAATTATTAATTATTGTGATAAATATTCAAATATTTCGTCACACGAACCTGGCGTTGTCGTTTTGTAGGAACAATTATGCGTAGAGTATCCTGTAGCCGAAGAAGTTAGTGGAGCAGTTTGGCGGAGTCTACTAATGACAGGAGCTACTCTTGGTTTGATCGCCACGATCTTGTCAGTGACTTCCTGATGGAACCTTACGGGATCGTGTGATCTGAGTATGTTTTGTTGTCAAGAAGCTTTCGCGTACTTATGTTCTATGAGAACACTTGCAAATGAAATGTAAACAGATTTTTATAACGAACGCACAATGTTACATTTCACATCGGAACAATTTGATTCGAACGCAGCGTTTGCTACGTCTATACGAGGAATATGCAAAATTAACAAGAGATACATCAACGCGTTGACAAACATAATTTTCATATCAATGTCACTCGGGCTTAGAATCATCCTACTTTTTATATAACTCCGAACCTACATAGCATGAGCGACAGACAATGACGCTAGTTTCCTATTACAATACCTTATAACAGACTAGTGAAATTAGTGGAATATCTTATTTAATTCTACAATAGACATTTTATATTAAAATAATTCCTAATAATAATACTCAAAATTTTGAAGAAATTTTTAGAAATTTACGCAACAGAGGAATCTCGAAATTATATTGAATTTAGGTAGACGCAATCTATTTATTTATAATTTATTTTAGGTAGAGAATATATTAAATAATAAATTTTTTTTGAGTATTTTTGGTCAGAGAACCGATCGCAATCACACACTTTTAAACTTTAAGGGATATATGTAATACCGAAAAAAAAAAACGATGGCTACGAACTATACCATCATGTATATTCAAATAATGGCTACTTTTTTATATGTTCATATATTCTATTACACTTGCAAAAATTTTATATGCATATTCAGAATAAATACTTTTATAAAATAACGATCGTTCTCCTGTAATCATTATTATTGTGAAACAAGAGAAAGATTAAAAAATACCTACTATAATTGTCGATCAATAATTCTCGCAATTCCACAAAAAAAATTAAAATGTCATTTTTTTTATCTTCCGATCCCATTAGTATTAAAACACATACAAATGTGCATTATTCGTGTTTGCTATAAAATTAATTTCTCATACATTATCAAGTATCGTATTATCAATGGAAGTTTACAGGGTACAGAGCAAGTTACTGTTATAAAAATTTAAATATAGTTTTATGAAGCGATTTATACTACTACAAATAAAAATCCCTCATAAAATAATACAAAGACTTATTTACATGGTGTAAGTATTTTTGTTTTCTTGGAAGACATCGAGTCCACATCGTTAAAGCCTTTTTAATGTATCATAAATTATAAGTGCTAAGTTTTAATATACTGTTGTGTATTGTGACAAAAGGGATCGATCTTAATTAATCATTACGAAATATTATAAGTGACGTTTGATGTATATGTTTACAAATAATCAAAAATGCTGACTATGTAAAATAACACCATCATTCCTAAAATGAACACAATCCTCCTAAAATATCTATGTAATCTAAAATTTAAGTAATAAGTATCTTATTGGAAACTCACAACAAATGAGAAATGGGATATACTGGCCATAACGATTGAAGTTAGATCTTAATGCTTTAAATAATTCAATGTATAAATTATGTGTATACTATATGGCCCGTATATTCAGAATGCGCTTACAGCGATGTTAGCGCTCTAACATGCTATAGTTTACGTTATGCATACTATAAAATTTCATCAATAAAAACGCGTTCTGAGTACGGATCTATATGTACTTGTTAACAATAATTGTAGTCATTTAAAATTGCGCGCTGAATTTGTTTGGACTTGAAAACACAGCCAAACTATTGAAATAATTTCACAATTAAATTTTGATGCTCTCAATAGGTGTATCTATTAAATAAATTTATTTATTGTGAAAAATATTATCTCGGCCGGAAGTCGAACCCGGATCTCTTGCATTTAATACGAAAAAATTTAAAATATTTATTAATGAGGAATAATAAAAGGCACTGACAGTTATACACAAATATAGCTTGGAAATAAGAAATGTAATTATTTTCTGTAAAATGTCTTGCGATGATACAAATTAATAGAATAATCGAATATAAGTAACAATTCAACATTTGCATGTGGACAATTGTGTTTAAAACGACATATAATACTTATTTAAAAAAGACTATGTTGTATATCAGAACTCCAACTTACTGAAATTTACACATGCAAACAAAATGCGAAAACAATCTAAGCTATAAATTTTTTTTTCACGATGAGTATATTGTATAGTAGGATATTGGGATAATAACTTGCCTCTTTTTATTTTTTATAACCAAATTGGAGGATACATTTCTGCCAAGGAAATATATTAACCATTATTTTCAGCGTTGAAATCTCGTACATAGGTATTTTCATACTCAGGACACTACTGAGATCTAAATCATTACTTAAATTTACAGTGTATGTATGTATATATGTGGATGGATGTATGTATATATATTGCATTATTTACAATATATATTATATATTTATAATTATATATGTTAACAAAAGGCAACACCGAACAATGATCAGAAATCTATTCCTAAGGATCTTAAAAACATGACAATGCATGATAATGTACGTATTGGTTCATAACTACAAAAGTAAAGTCACGGTTCTTTCTATATACATATTACACTTTACTAGTAAAATAGTTTATTTCATTATTGTATAAGTTTTGCCATTAAAATACTCATAAATACTAAATATGAATGGATAATGAAATTCTTGACACAAGTTTGCAATCTATTCCAAATAAAATTCAATTAACTACTTACGGTGCTTTTTCGGATATGTCTGATTAATTTGACAGCTAAACGTTTTAACTTCATATATGCCACATATTTTTTTTCATGAATATGAAGACTTGGCCTAGAAGTTCGGGTCATATGTACAAGAAATTTTGAACATTTACGAATTTTATTTTTTATACACAGGATCAAGTTCTTTAATACGTTGTAGTTTACTGAATTGAGTGAATGAGATACAGATTATAAAATCACAAACTAGAGGGGAAATTCGGGCGATTATATCTAACAATTTCCTTATATCTAGTCAAATTTTGCGACTGTACAGAAAACAACTGCATTTTAACTTTTATTTCAGATCCTAATGTGCATAATAGTAAGAATCAACAATTTCGGTTTAATAAATCTTCAAAATTAGATATCTATTTTGCTATTATTGATATTACTATGTTTAAGTATTATGCGTTTGTGTGTGGATATATATACTATATTAACTGTACAAACGGAAAACTCATTTCGTCTGTCACTTATATTGACAATTATAAGTAATTATTTTATTGTAGTCAACCTTCAATTAGTTAGCTAAACACATCGTCAGCGTTATGCATGTAGATAGCAATCAGATTAAATAAAAGGATAATTTTATTTGTTTAAATAAAAGGAGGAACACAGAGATAATAAAATAACAATAGAAAACACGATAATAAAGATATTCCTAATTTTAGAACTAAATAAAATTTCTTTATGTAGATCTTAACTATATATTTATATTATATCACACATGTATATATATAAATTTAAAATCGAGACACAATGCAAAATAAAAAATTCAATTTACAACATGTATAATAAAGTATTAATTTACAAAAAGAAAAAAAAATAGTGTTTTCTTGCAAGTCAATAATTATAGTGTTATACTTTTATATGCAGAGATGGAATATGGTACATGTGAAAGATATCACAAACTTGGCCCCCTTTAATCTGCACAATGTCAATATGAATGTAATTAATTGATATTATAAATAATAATTTATTTGTAAAAGAATAAAATATATTTAAAAAATTGGTAGAATAACATTTTTACAAGATTGGAAAATATTTTGTATTTAAGCATCTTTCTTGAAAACAGTATACAAGCAAGAATAAGAAAAAGCTATCAAACATGAATACATAACACTGATGATATGCACATAGATAATTTAGTTTTTTTTTAAACATTGGCAGTTGTAGCCTGGACGTATAGTGGTCCAAAATAGAGTAAAACAATTGAGATAATTTATTTGAATTGTATCTAACTTATTTTAAATAGTTATTCTTAAAATATTAAGGGGGGAAGAAAATAAGTTTTCAGGGGGTTCACAAGGTTTCAATTCGCCTAACATCAGTAAAATATGCAAAATAAAATAGCAAATTTTTAGTGAAGTCACGTTCATATCACAACATTTTAAGTATGTTGCGAATAATGACACACTTTGTTCGTCTTAATGAATATAACTTTTCTTAAGATTTCCTAAAACAATGGGACATTTTTATCAAGAATCAAGAATCTACAATGATGTATTATACACAGCAAGCACAAATCAATATTGTCCAATCAACTTGTTTGTGATCGGATTGAATTTTAATAATTTGAATTCAATATTAATTATAAACGACATTATAGGTGTTGTGCCACAGAGCATATTATATATAAAGTGCATATAACACGTTCATCACTTTGTGACAAGCTCCATTTTTGTCTCTTGTTAACTCTTTCTTGGTTTATCACAGTTGGGGCAGAGGTGGGAAGGAAGAGGACTTGTATCACCCCAAAAAATGAAACTAACAAGATTCCTCTATTCCTTATAATCCCACCATTCTTTCTCATACCCTTCATGGACATGTTCTAAAAGCACTTTTCTTCGGCTATCGCAGTATCTTTAAAAGCACACACATACACAAAAATGTAATATTATTTTGACAAAAACATAAACAAAATATCTTTTTTTTTTTTTAAATAATGCATAATCCTTACCTATATTTATCCTGAACCTTTTGTTTAATATCTGCCAGATTTTCACTCGTGATATCTCTTTCAAGATATTCAGAGAGGCATTCTGTAGCACTCTCCAGATCTTTTTGGTTATCTTCAAAAATCACAGATTGATTGTTCTTTTTCACATAATAAGCGAAAACATAAGTGTACATGAGAGTCTGTCTACAGGAACACAAAATATCAACTGCCTTTTTTAAAAATTGTACCTGAAAAGAAAATAATTTGATATCTAAAATAATATTAATAAATAATAATATTAATAAATAATGATGTATATATAATTTTATTAACGATTTTTGTTAATGGCTTTTCGTTTATAACTATAAGTTAATAAAATTCTTGTTATATATAATCAGCTTAAGAACACAATATTTTGAATAGAATATAGAGCTTTCCATTTGGTGATACACAAGTCAACACAAGTATTGTTCTATCTTTATTAATCATGGAATGCTAAAAAAAATAGAACTGTATCATGGATAGAACATTTGTCGACTTGTTACTAAATAGAAAGCATCCTATATTATATATTACAACTATATTATATATTACAAAATACTAATATACTAAATCTTTATTTGTAAAAATGTATTATCTAACAAGAAAGGGGGGTTTTAGACAACTCAAAAACTTGTGCAAGTGGAGTAGTTTATCTACAAAACTATTTTTCGTTCGGAATTTTGAGGGTGAAACACTCCTTCGAAAAAATCAGTTTTTTTTTTCTTTTGAAGCACATATTATCGAAACTTTATAAAAAACAAAAAAAATTTCAGAATGAAAATTGAATATATATATTCATTCTTACATTAGCATACCAGGTCAAATATTTATTTAAACGAGCTAATAATTAGTACTAAAATAATTTTAAATCTTTACTATTGTTTTTCCCAATATAATGAGATTCTGCGTAGAATTATAATGTAAAGATTTAAAATTATTTTAGTACTAATTAGCTCGTTTAAATAAATATTTGACCTGATATGCTAATGTAAGAATTTGTTTTATTATTATACGAGCGAAAGTTAACTTATGAATAATCTAGAATTGTTCATTTTAATTATTATATATATTCATATTTCTAAGATAAATTTGTTTAAAGAAATATGTATATTAGTTTGATATCTAACTTTGATCGTCATGGCGTTTCTCATATTTAAGTGATATATTCACATGAAGGAATTTATTTTCAATGTTGTATATACAAAATATATTAGGAATGCACCGGTAAAATTACCAGATATCGGATATTTCTCGAATATTCGGTACATCCCTAAAATATATATAAATAATAGTGATATACATAAATGTAATTCAACTTAAAAAAATTTATTGTTATTATTGTACCTCAATCCACGACATGTTATGTTGCTGCATTTCTTCCATCTTCTCTTTTACACTAGCATACAATTTACTTTCAAACTTTAATGATTGCATATGATTCATATATCTATTGCAATAAAATAAATATCTCTGTAAAGCTGATCTGGATTTTTCTTGTGCATCTCTGGCTACTTTAGCTTCCTCTTCATCGTAACGGTTGCAATTATACCAGCTAGAACCATGTGGTTCCCAAGGTCCAAGACATACCCAACAAAATTCAGTTTTACAATTTTGATTCTTGCAAACCATATGGTTACATCCGCCATCTTTTTCAATAGTAACATTACACTTGGGACACTCCTTTGTATTAGCAGCGATCCAGTTTGATGTTTCAGAATCATCATCGCATTTTTTAATCCACTTACGAAGTAAATGACACTTTACAGGATCGTGCCAGTTTTCGCCACAGTGGAAACAGAAGATGTGTCCACATTTGCAAGTGACTGGTCTTGCTTCTACATACTGTACCTTAATGGCATTATTGCAATCAGGAGAAGGGCACCATCTCAGTAACCTATTGCACTGTAAAGAAGAGAGATGTATTAAACATTAATAACATCCAATAAATTTAATTACATTAGTCAAATATTTACTTCAACAAAGCTATTGGTGATTAAATGTTGATATTTTAATTTAACTTTGGAATCTTTGACAAGTCGCATAACACTGGCATCGTCGACTAAAATGTCACACGCGTGAGCAGCACATGCTATTGTTTGTCCAACTCCTTCTTCCATGATCTTAGTTGTCAAGTATTCACCCCAACAACCGGTACAAAAACGATGTCCGCATTCCAGACCGGTCATCATCTAATGGTTTTTATAATATGTTTTTTAACATATTCTATTTTACTACTATTTTTTAAACAGTGGGTAAAATAGACTTACTGAGGATGGCAAGATCATGAAACAGATGCCACATTCCTCCGTTCCATTTGTCGGTCTTTTAGGCTGTATTACAAACATAGGTAAAATATAATTACTTGTGAGTGATAACAAAAATATAATTTAAATAAACTATGCACGTACGTTTACTAACGAGCTTTGAGAGGACCGACTTCTGCTTATCAAAGGACCTTTCCTAAACGGATTAATAACACGTGCCTCGGCAAACAACTTTTCCTGATCACCGTCGTAAAATCGTTCCATCAATTTTTCCTTATCCCATTTAAAGTGATTTAATAAAATACGTGTGGTAGTAGCTGGTATCTATAAGTGAACACATGTAGGTACATGTAAGTAGATATAATGTTACTTATAACTTATTTCGAAAAGCAAAAAACCTAAGACACAATTAAAAAACACAGACAATAGGAACAGCGAATAAAACAGATTTTAGTCTATCAAAAAAAAAATGTATTCTGATATACACGATTTCTAGAATCGTTATTTCTTATTATCTGTATTTTTCAATTATATCTCACCCTAAAGGTTGATTGTGTATCTTGAAACTGGATGAAAATTACAAAAATTAATAAATTCACTAGAATATTTAGGATTTCATTAGACAATATTGTAATTTTTATCTCGTTTCAAGACGCAATTGTCCTGATTCTAGCTACAAGTCGATCGCAAGCTTGTTGCAATAGACATTCTAAAGCATTAATCTAAAAATTGACGCTTCAGATTGGCCGTCGACAAGATTGCGATTAACTTACGATTAACCTTCCTATGATAAGATAAATTTTTAAGGTATCCCCAGAAAAGTAGGATTGGATCTGACCTGATGCTGTCTTGTTCATATTTTATCTAATCAATATAACAAAATAAGTAAAAAGTATATACCACAAAACTTCTTGTTCTGTTAAACAATGTATAAGATCCTTTTTATCTTAAGGAAGGATCACACACACTTGTTCTTTGTCACTGCACTAGGCTGGTATTACGTTTGTCATGTGACAAATCATTTTAAGCCTATTGATTGGCTGTAAGAAAGAGAAGTTGTTAGCTGTCTCTATTCTATAGCCAATCGATAAACTTAAAACTTCTTTGTCCTCCAACAAATGTAGTATTAGCCCTAGGGTGAAATTTCATTTATGCGTTTTTATCGTATGACAAATTTTTCAAACCTATTGATTAGCTATAGGATAGAGAAATTTGTAAGCTCTGCGGCCTGTATATTTGCCATACGACAAAAACACAAATAAAATACCCAGACTACATTAGCCTGCTAAAACTTTCCCTCTCACTTTTGTTAAACTTAAAAAAAACAGGATAGACCTATGATACATATGTTTTCTGTTTCTACACTAGATTGCACTAGAATTCTTGTTCTCACTTTCAACGAATATCGAACATATACCAGTCTTATTTTAAACAGTATACACTAGTTCATCCAATAAAGAAAAGAGAGATAAGATAATAAAGAAATCTTATCATCCATAAATTAGGAAGCTTACTTCGACAACAGTGTTGACTTCCTTTATGGAGTCAACCATGTGCTGCACAATCTCTTCTGTAGAAAGTACTTCAAAGGGATATTCGTCGACATCGGTAGCTCGTTCCCGTGGATTACCAGACTCTATTTCCATAGCAAAATCAACGTCGTCGCCACTCGACTCGTTGCCGGAGTCAACGTCATCATAAAGCGTTTCTTCCTCCGAATCCATCGTTCCAATTAGCGCGCTTTTAGTCTTCTACACTGATGTTTCTTCTTCCTTCTTTCTCGAGCAGAGTAAGTGAGCAGATCGCACCTATGGATGTGTCGAGTGCATGAAGTTCGCGAGGAAGTCGTGCTACGTTGATCCAATCAAAGTTTCATCCTAAATACATAAACGTAGTGACTTTAGAAAGAAGAAATTTATATTTAAATTAATTAATACGATATAGAATATCAACGATCGCCACGGGGATTTACATTTTCATTCGTATTCGATGAAATTTAGAGATACTACGGAATGAGAGTGAAACGGAAAGGCGCGCGATTTCGAGGTTCCGGACGCACCTGTCGCGAGGAAAACGACTTATGTCTCCGTACGTGACATCATCGTTTCCCGACGCTACCCGAATCCGGAGAACAGCATCCGGAGCGGCTGTCTTTTCCAGACGTAGGTGCGCGCGCGTGATGGTCAACTACAACGCGTCCGAATCCTTTCGAAGGCGCGAGATGCTCGACGGATTTTTACCCGACGTTTCCGTTATAGGGAGAAAGAGAGAGAGAAAAGGGAACAAAGTCAGCTACCAAAACATCCGAGATGAACTCCGGGAGCGGGAGCGCCAACAGCTAATCTCACGGCGAAGCGAAGACGTTCGCGCTCGGTCGGCCGATTGCGACACTTCACGTCGTACCGACATTCACGCTGGAAGAAACGAAAATACGGACACCAACAAACGATATGATTGATGGGCCAAGCGGGCGGACGAGCGTATCGCACATGCACATACACTCGCGAGGCTGACGTTTTTGCACTGTCAAGCCTCAGGCTTCGGCGCGAAAAAAAATTGCAGGTCACGAGGCCGCACGCCTAAATACGGACGCGCCTCCTCCGCAAGGCTCTCCGGAGGCGTCTACTTCGATTTTGCGTGCCCGATATATAAATATACGCGCGAAGGACAAGCCCGCGTGCGTATCGTGTGATACTCGGATTCGCTAATTAGCACACGCGCGCGTTTATAATAAGGCGCGACACGTTGGTTCAAGGGCAATATCGATCGCGCGCGCGCGCGCGCGAGGAGGGACGCTCGAAGACTCTCCGGACTCTTGGCGGGAGTGGGACTCTGGCGAGCATGTCCTGTCTACCGTGTTCCTTTCTGTCGCGAACGGATCTCGATGAAATTTCGCACACTGTCAGAGTCGCTCAGAGTAGAATATCTGAAGAAGCTGTGTTCGATTCTTTTAATCTGAGAATTCAAGCAGAAACGTAAAGTCGCGATATGTTCTCGTAAGACTTGTTAGAACACTTATATAAGTGCTTATAATTTTATGCAATACCTTTACAAAGCTTCTCGCTAGCCGTGAGATTTACGAGAAATCGTAGATATGTTTGCGAATGATATCGTATATATGTGTCTTACGATATATATATAAATAGAATTATTATACAATATCAGTCACAAATTCTTGCAAGTTTTACGAGAGCCATACGATTTTACTTAGAATTGACCGATTTTTATTTTCTTCTTGACTCTTTATAATGACAATCCGATATCGTTGTCACTGCGCAAATATTATGTAATGTATATGACAAAAAAAAACTACTCACCGACGACAAAGACTGTGTCCCAAAATTTACAGCTAGTACTGAAAATCTATGGTGCATGTGACGTAAACTATAGATTTTCGGTCAGTAAATTTTGTGTGGGACTATAACAATAATGAACTGTCATTAAAGTTACAGAATCGGAACACTAGATAGATTTCTGATAACTTATTTCTTCAATCTAAATGAGTTACCGATAACTTTATTCTCTCTCTCTCATATTTTCCAGATATCCTATTTATTCATTATCTGAGAATTATCCCATAAAATTATCTAGAGATGAAGAAATTGGCCATAAAGAGATCACACAGTACCATGCATAAAACTATCTTCATCACATATTACTCGAGGAAGAAAAGTAGAATGAAACTTAGGGTTTTTGGTACATGCTACTAATACTGAAAATTTATAATTCAGCGATCTACAATGAGATTTTAAGGTGGAAAACTTAAAATAATAAGAATCTTATTGGACCATACGTATGAAAACAGTTAATAAGAAATAAAGGCCCATAGTGGCCAAAGTTAGATCTTTAATGCGTAAAACTAAAGCTTTAAGCTTTGAAAAAGAAATTAGTCACAGAAGAATGAGAATAATTAACGAATGGCCAATTTCTTACTGCCTAAAGATTGCGGCACAAAAAAAACTTAAGTAGTAAAATGTAAGCAGTAAGCAAATTAGTCACACAATCACAATAAAGGTTATAAGATAATAATATACATCGTAGCAAATACAAAATGGTGACTTTTTTGCTTACTGCTTAAGTTTTTTGTGCATTACGATGCTTTCTAGTAAGAGGCAGTTGACACAATAGTTACCTTCTAATTAGTGACACAAGTCGACACAATGTCATTTCTTTCTTTGCATTCTGCGAGTAACAGACAGAATGCTTGTGTCAACTTGTGCTACTAAGCATTTCATTTAATGCTCACACATTCATGGAATCATTCTATCCTTGTTTATCAATGCTTGTGAACGTTGAGAGTTATATGGAACACAGTCTAAATAAAAGGCACTCAACGTTCTGTTTTGTGCTTACAACGCTCATAAGTATCATTTGTCCTTGTTTAACATTTGACAAACAAAGACGAACTGAGGCTTACAGTGTGTGAGCATAAAAATAAAACGCTCCTATAATGTAGCACAATGAATCATTGGCTGTGTTCAGCAGAAAAAGTAGCTTTGCAACTGTTGTAAAATTCTTGAATATAATTGGCTTATACATTTAGATCTAATGAGGAAGTAAGGTCAAGATCAATCATATTAAAGAATTTTACAACAGTTGCAAAGCTATTTTCTCTGCTGAATGCAGCCATTATGTCCTTGTTGTTTACTAATGTTAAACAAAGATGAAATGATCTCATTATGTTACACTGAGGATGCTTTCATTTAATGACACAACTCGATACAAGCATCGTTCTATCCTTCTTGGCATTCAGTGAATAACGAAAAGCGACACTCGACAACTTGTGTCACTTGATAGAAAGCACCTTGCTGGAAAGCACCAATAGTCTTAAGGCAGCTTAAGTTGCTCATTATAGACTGTCAAGCCCAAGATACAATGCGAGGGAATAGCGATAACGATAAGTTTCAACTTATCAGAAATCGAATACACCGGAATACACATTTTTGATAGGTTGAAACTTATCGCTATCGCTATTCCCTCGCATTGTGTCTTGGGCTTTATAGACGCTGCTTTACATATACTACAGTCATACGTCATACATTGAAGTAGTGGCAGTATACATATATACATATCGGAACACGACTTTACACGCGCGAGCGCCTGAACCGACACAGCCGAGATGATAAACAAACCGAAGGCACGTACGGATGACGTTACGTTGTCTGCTTGTCCACCCCCGTCGTCAAGCCTGCGTTACGTTTGCGTTTGATACGAGCTCGCGTAATTCTTGTTGAGGAGGCAGCACAATTTTCCAGCACGTCGGTGGACGCGCAGGAATTACGGAGCAATTCTTTGACGATCTCCGTTGTACTTGCGAATTATTACCGTCACATGAGCCGCAAAGTCTTTAACGCGATAGTGTCGCGTGCAAGCGTTTATCCTCGTCCATCGTATACACAAGCGTCGCGTTGTTGCGAACGACGACACGCACAAAGAGAACTCGCGATCACGAATAACCGTTTGCCATGAAAGGAACGGGAAGCAATCGAGAGGGAGACTGAGGCGGACTGAGGAATAGCCGGAGAGGAAGAGAGAGGGAGAGAAAGCCTCGAACGGGTTTATAGCCCGAGCGCTGCTGCCACGGTTGCGACAACGCGCGCCATGCCGACATTGAATTCTTTGGCGATCAAATGACGACGAACGTGCCACCGTTTTCCATCATCGTTGTCGTTTATCAATATGAAGTCGTAACTGCGAAGCTAAGAAATCACACCGGGAATTTCGCAACAGTTATGTAGACGATATACACAATCACTATCTAACACGTGAACAAATCGACGAACGGTGACGAACAGTGTAACAGTCGCGAACTGCCTCAAAAAGGCTGCCGCTGCCGGATTGCAGACGAAACTGTCATGCTAACAGCACGTGGTGGGGATTGTAGAGAGCAGTGGAGTACGTCGACAAATGCTAGCAATACATACTACTGGATGACAAAGAAATTTGTGGAGACAAATAACACATTCGATTTACTCAACCTGACTTTGATGGTTTGTTCTGCTTAGCTACAAAAGAAGAGCTAAACCGTGCAAAAAGTGTAGCTAAAAAGATACTCTAAAGGGGCCTACAGACCAGAGCGGCGCAGCGGTGAAGCGGCGAGCGATAGCCAATGAGAGCCATGATTTTGCGTAAAAGCATGGCTCTCATTGGCTATCGCTCGCCGCTTTACCGCTGCGCCGCTCTGGTCTGTAGGCTCCTTAAGGCTTTGACTATATAATATGGACTGCTAGCAGCAACTTCAGACTGGATATCAAGATGTGTCGCGCCCCCATCGACCAATGGAGGAATGCGTGAACTAATTTCACAATTCACAATTGACGTGCTCGGGGTCCCAAGCTTCTAAGGGTGCAGTCCCATGGAGCGTATCGCGCGTATCGCGGATTAGCGGATCGCCAATCACAGAATCGTTCTGTTAGATCTGTTTACAAATAAGGGTGCAAACCCATGCAGCGGAATAGCGTAACGCGGAACGAGAGCGGAACCAATCACGAGCGTTCCGCAGTTTTCATTACGCGGTTTCAAATCCCTTAATCTCCATAGAGCGCAATGAGCGTAAGCGGAATTATCAGCAAGTTCGTAAATAACGTTTAAATATTGTATTTATCATTCATTTTTTATTATCAAGTATCTAAATATAGAATTAAATGCATTTCTCATTGGAAAAAATATTTAAAGATGTTAAAATTTATGAAATTAGTTTTAATGTGATTGTAACCTTTATGAAATAACGATTTATGATTGGTTGCGCAAAGTCTGCGTTGCGCTTATTACGCTACATGGGTATTAAGGGTTCACGTTTCAACGTAACAAAACTGGCGGAATAACAACGTTGTGAGTACAGAGATAAATTATTAGTTATTACTCACTACTAATGACAGATTTCCTAATCAAAAAATGCTTGAGAAACATGATCGTTCGTGATTTTATTAGTTATTACTCACTATTAATGACGACAGATTTCCTAACCTAAAAATGGTTGAGAAACGTGAACGCTCGTGATTGGTTCCGCTCTCGTTCCGCGTTCTGCTATTCCGCTGCATGGGTTTGCACCCTGATTCGTGAAACGGAACGATTCTGGAATGTTTTTGCGTTAGGTTAGGTTGTATCTAACAAGTTGTACCTAAAAATACAAAACTTTTAATATATATTTTTGGTATGTAAATATATTTAAATATATAAAACTGATGGAATATAAACCTAATCTAACTTATAACACACTTCTACATATATTTCATCATTGCGTTTTATTACATTATAACGTTCTGCGCATGCGAGACGTTTCTCGTCGGAGTAGTGATGCACGCAATATTCGAGACATCAAGATTCTTGTCTTGTCTTGTCTCGAAATCAAGACGATATCAAGACAATATTGATTTAATAAATTTCGATACGAGACAATATTACTTTTCCAAGATCAATATTCTCGGCTCAAGAATATCGAAAATATCGAATATCAAATAAATAAATATATTAGAAATATATCAATTAATAGATAACATCTAATAGAAAATATAGAAATAATTTTAATTAGGTTTAGTGGCTTATTCATACTTATAAATGAATATAAATGTTTTCACTGATATATGTAGTATTACTATTTTATATTATAATCTATATTATTGAGGTTATAGAAGACAACTCTTCCGCCATGACACTGTGCAGGTCAATGCAAATAATCTGAGTCTCAAATCGAACTTGTGATCGAAGTCAACCAGACCCGGAGTCGGGTCGAGTCGGTTAATCGAAAACGCTATTAGTCTTAACCTCTCCGTATAATGCAAGCACGCTCTTACTTCGTGAATGCAAGCCAGGCCGGAACATAACCTCTCCGTATAATGCAAGCACGCTCTTACTTCGTGAATGCAAGCCAGGCCGGACTGTTCGGGTAAGGTTAATTGCAAATGGCGCCCAACCATAAGAATCCATTCCTTTCAGCGGACTCTCTCCCAATTAGGGGTCGCGAATCAGGACCACTTTTTCAGCTTGCGTTCTATTAAGTTCGGTCTCCTTCTCTCTTACTTCGTGACTATGATATAAGAATATAAGGTGTTTCCACAGACTTTTATATATTATACACTAGACTGCTAACCCCTATTGTTTTCCTTATGTACAAGTGTTGTCTATGTAAAAGTATCCGCGAAGTGGATGCGCAGCATAGGCACTATGTAATATGTCCGCCACGCAGGCAATGTGCACGTATATATAGATCAATGTATATTAATACATCTTGCGAGAATAATTATTTTAAAAATACCGAGACATTGTAAAGTAATATTAACTAATAAGTTAATATTACTCATTAGATTCAACAAAATTAATTAATATAAAATTATTCAGATTATTTAATAAAATAATAACCTTAATCAATAGAAAGACAATAGATATACATCAATTAAATTTCTTGATTTAATATATAAACTTTAGAAGGAAAAAGAATATTATAAATCATTAATCACAACAAAAGGCATTATACAAACAAAAGCATAATACATCAAACCGCTTAATATAATAAACAGGTTACAGAGAAATGCTTTTCGTGTAAATACCTTCGCACAATAACTTATATTAAACTTATCTGTAACGAAATCAGATCATCGTTGCAAGTCCTTACAATTGCACACAGCACACACAACCATCCGGTACCATGGTCCGCTAGGAAAAGGGACGAGCATCAACGATGTTCAAATTTCATAATCTGACTATATAGTAGATAGCGAAAGATAGTGCCATCTACTCAAATTAATCATGCTATCTATCGTTAACTAGCTTGATGAAAATTACAACTTTCCAACAAATTTAAATAATGATTTGATAATAAATATACAAAACATGATAGCCAAGCTTTGTTATCATCCTAGGTGTGAGCTCGTATATTCCTTTCCAATTCCCACATGCTATCAGCATGTTGTTTCGTCTGCAATCTGGTTAAGCCCGTGTCACACTACGGACTGTGGACGCGGATCGGATTGAGATTGCGGATCGCACATCGATATTCAGCCAATCAAAACAAAGCAGCTTTGTCTTGATTTGCTGAATTCCGATGCGCGATCCGCAATCTCAATCTGATCCGCGTCCACAATCCGTAGTGTGACACGGGCATTAGGTATCCCTAGTAGCTAAAATAGTTTTGTTCTGAAGAATCCGAGGCCTGAGACGCAACGACTTTATATATTCTTAACGCGCCGCAACGCGCCGTGACGTTAACCCGCATTAACTCGACTCAACCAGACCTAACCCGATCCGAGTCGAAGGAGTGATTCGTTTCAACGCCGCGAAGTGAGCCACTTTCGTTTCGAACGGCGCACAGCTGACGACGCGCATAGTTGTTCTCTGCACATACGACATACGTTCAGTATGCCGAGTGTACGACGTATATATGTATACATACATATACGCATGCATTCATGCGACGTGCCGCGTTGTATTGTTTACAACGAGTAGACTTCTAAATCGCGATACAGCCGATACAGGTTTGGCTCCGATCTGGTCAGGATCTCTGTATGGTGCTTTCTCCCGTCGATAGAGATGGTAACGATTGTTCTGTGGAGCACATGTTACGTCGACGCGTCGGAAATCGAAATCGTTCTCTATCGCAACCATTTATGAACTGTTTAAAAAATTTTGTCGCATACCTTTTATGCCAAGGAATATCATTTAATACTGAAATAAAAAATATGTTAATCTTATGTGCTTTGTAGATGTAATATTTTTTTTTTGTAAATGAAAGGCGATAGAAGGAGAAATGTAAATTTGTGCAAGTTTTCTTAATTAGATTAAAAAATCGTTAGTTGATAACTTTTTCCATTTTTCTAATTCGGTTTTTTGATAACGATATTATTGTTGATAATTTCCGCGATTACGCCAATGTCTAAGGAAACTGGCGCGCAAGAGCAAAAGTTGTACCGTCACGTTTACCCTTCGCGACGGCGACGTTTCGCCGTAAATGCCACGTTGACTTTTGCTAACCTATCTCTGTGAAAAATGAATCTATCTACTGTGCGAGACTATTGTATGCTGGAAAAGATAGGTACCGGGAGCTACGCAACCGTGTATAAAGCATTTAGAAAGGTATGTGCATTTTTTTAATTTTTTCCCCTTTTTCTCGAAGAAATTCAGGTTAGGTTTTCGTTCGAGCGCCTCGAATCATTCATTAGGCATCAATCGTGTATTTGTTGCTAAAGAAGATACGAAAATATTGCGTGCGCGCGCGCGCGCGTTCGCGCACGTAAAACTTCCTCTTTACACATCTTTTTTTTCTCTCTCTAATGATTCGTTCAATTCGCCAGAGGGTAAATACGCGTTATCATAAAAACTCAATAGTGTGTGCATCTGTGTGCATCACGTTCGTGACGTTCACGTGCAGCTGCA